ATAGAGAATGAGAAAAGAAAATGATTATATAACGATGACCAAAACTGCAAATGTTGTTTGCCTGACAAGTTTCTGCTTGAAGCAAGTGCTTTATCAGCATAATCTCAACTGTGCTGAGGGGTTCACTGTGATCTAAGAATGCAACATTTGATCAGCAGGAAAAAAAGCCCACTGTGGCTTGTGCCAAGTTAAAGGGGTCCTATTATGCTCTTTTACAAAGTCTTGATTTTGTTTTGGGGGTGTACTAGAACATGCTCTCATGCTTGGTGGTTACGCATTATTTTTCACATAATTTACATTATTAAAATACCTTTCTCCCCATCCTGGCACAAACGGCTCGATTAGTTCTGGGTTTTAATGAAGGCCCGCCTTTCGAAAAAAACGAAATGTGTTGTGAATTAAAAAAGTGAAAAAGCATAATAGGACCCCTTTAAGTAAACAGTAGCACAGTAAACAGTCTAGTTGAGTCCAGGAAGGAACCCAACCCAATCCCCTGAGACAACACGGACAATCAAGATAAGAAGCAAAAGAAAATAAGTCTCACCTAGAGCTTTTACCGCAATCTGGCGTGTGTGTGGAGGTGGTGTCAATATGCAGACAAGATGGACTTCTGGATGTAACAGCACGTCATCTGTCTTGTTGGTGGAAAAGGGAATGTTCAACTCGCTGGCTAGTGACTCTGCTTCCTCTTGCGTACGGCCCCAAACAGCCTGAACAGGGAAGCCTTCCTTTTGGAGCAACGGCACTAAGGCACGTACCGTCTGCCCGGTTCCAAATACACCCACGCCCGGCAACATTATTCTAACTTACAAGCAACTCTGTGTCTCATTCCACACTGCTAATGTAATCTCTTTTGACACAGATGCTTGGCCTGTGAAAAGAGAGAGAAACATCAAAGTTCACTGACGCTGACATTTGCACATGGATGCAAAATAATCTCTAGACACAGCGCATGCAGTTGCAAGCATGTCGACACCAAGCTCCAAGTTAAAATTAACCTCAGGGCCACTTCAGGCTATCACAATCAATACACAATAGAGATAAAGCACTGTATGACCCCACTGTTATCAGTGGCTTGATTGACAGCTGTCAGATACAAGCCTGGGCGTTGTTGACCTGCCAGCTGGCTTGCAATTTAATTTACATCCCAAAGGCTGTGCACCTGCCTAGCAAAGGCAAATGAGAAGCATGTTTGTATTTCCTCTGTGTACTAAACACAAGGTAGTTCCTAGTAGGGCTAGTCTTGATTTGCAAACATATATTTCTAGTAGTAAATACATAGAGAAAAGGGTAGAACCATCACGAACATTCCTAAAGAACTTATAAGGAAGGGTGAACTTGACGAATTATGTTGTTTTTAATAAAGAAACGTAAACTATTATCAATTTTGTGACCCATCCTAGAGGCACACTAATATTAGCATCATCACTTCCTCGCGCTAACCCGCGGATGTAGGGCGGATAGGGTAACCCTTGGTTTAAAAGTTTAGCTTTTAAAGAATTTCTTGTGTTTTATTTTACTTAAAAACAATATAAATCATTCAACTTGACACTTTTAAAGTAAACATGCCTCGTAGCAGATGCATATCGTTGTAGCTTAGCAGAAACCGGTCCATTTCAACCGCACAAAGTCACAAATACACACATTCGAGCTCGTGTCAAATCAGTGGCTTCTGGCTCGGTTATTAGTTCATTTTTCAACGGCTCTGTTAGTTTCATATGGGCTGTTACTTACCACAAAACAAAGCCCTGGGATGCGATGGCGCCGCTGTGGAGAATGATGATGGCCAGAGGATGGTGGACACCTCCCTCCCTTTCTGCTCCACTTTAATCAGGGCTCTGCTCTCATGTCATCTCAACAGCAGGAGGAGGAAAAACAGGACAAACCCGTCCCGCCTCCCACCCTCTCGACGTATGGGGCATTCCTCGGCCGTCTTGAAATCACGGTACGTTGTTTCATGTGTATTGTGTAACTTCACAGTACTGCTGCTGCTGTGCTCACTTTTCATTGCTGTGTGGGATGATGTATAAAGCGAGACGTTTGATCATGTGCGCCTGCGCGAACCGTCGGTTTATCTGCCACGCCCATATCATTGAACTGAAACAGTTTGGCACATTCCATGAATTCAGTCTTGGTATAGGTCATCATATTTCCTTAAAATTGTGACTCCCAGGAAAAAAACATTTGTACCCTTTGTAGAAAATTATAAAATTACATAAATCAGTATTTAAACCGTATTTAGACTTTCTAATATTTTGGTAATATGGCTGCAAAAACAAAACAAAACAAAAAAACAGAGAAAATAAATAGAAAAATAAAATAGTTCATGTGACCATTTGTTGAAAAATGTACTCATCTCTGAGAAAATATTCTAGGGATAGAATTGGAAATTTTGTCATCATTTACTCACCCTCATGTTGTTCCGACCTTGTGCTTTTCTTTCTTCTGTTGAACACAAAAGAACATAATTTGAAAAATGTTTTGAAACAAACAGTTGCCAGTAGCCATTGACTTGCATATTATGGAGGGAAAAAAACAACATTATGGAAGTCAATGACTACCAGAAACTGTTTGGTTACCAACATTCTTCAAAATTAGTTAATTTGTGTTCAACAGAAGAAAGACACTTCTGTTGAGGGTGAGTAAATGATGACAGAATTTAATTTTTAGGTGAACTATTCCTTTAAAAGACTTCTTTATCATAGGTAAGAAGGCATATTTACGTAGTGTTCTGAGCTTATCATGAAGATAAGTGACCTAGATTGACCTTTGAGTTGATGCTTTGGACTCTCAACAACAACAACAACAACAACGATTATTTATAGAGCACATTTAAAACACAACCGAGGTTGAGCAAAGTGCTTTACAAAAAATAAAACAAATAAAATAAAAGAGTAACAAGGGAATCAACAGACAAATAAGATCAGCAGGGTACAGTAAAAAACCCAGGAAACATACTAAGTAGTGTTATAAGCCAGGGTGAAAAAATATGTCTTTAGATAAGATTTAAAAATACAAATAGATGGGGCACGTCTGATAAAGGGAGGAAGGCTATTCCAAAGCTTCGGTCCCGCAGTAGCGAAGGTGCGATCACCACGATTTTTAAATTTAACTCTAGGGACTATGAGTAGGCCAAGGTCACAAGATCTCAAGGTTCTAGACGGGGTATACGGAAGCAGCAAATCGGTTAAGTATTGAGGAGCCAGGTTATTGAGGGCTTTGTAAACAAATAATAAGATTTTAAAATGAATCCTATACTTAACAGGGAGCCAGTGTAGGGACTTTAAAATAGGAGTAATATAGTAATATTTTCACTTCCCTTTAATCAGTCTAGCGGCTGTATTCTGAACTAACTGAAGACGAGAAATTGAAGACTGAGAAATACCAAAATACAAAGAGTTACAATAATCAAGCTGAGATGTTATAAAGGCATGGATAGCTGTTTCAAGATTTTTTTCTAGATAGGAAGGGCTTAACTTTACTGAGAAGGTGAAGTTGGTAAAAACATGACTTAACTACAGCTGAAATCTGTTTCACTCTTCCTGAGTGAGGAAGCCAAGATCAAAATTAAAAGCAACATTTTCCCTAGGACCAAACTAAATTTCTGATTTGTTTTCATTCAGGTGTAAGAAATTGCTTGAAAGCCATAGCTTAAGTTCGTTTAGGCAATCTAACAATGGCTGAAGAGAATATTTATTATTACGCTGTAGGGGAAGATAAAGCTGGGTATCGTCAGCGTATAGATGAAAAGAGACACCATATTTTTTAAAAATAGAAGCCAAGGGGAGCAAATACATTGAAAACAACACAGGCCCAAGGATCGAACCTTGCGGAACACCACAACCAAGAGGAATGTCAGTAGAAACACAAAGCCCTATTTGAACAGTAAAACACTTATTTGACAAATAAGAGCGAAACCACTGTAAAACTATACCACAAAGTCCTACACAAGACTCCAGGTGTGACAGAAGAATCTTGTGGTTGACTAAGTCAAATGCAGCGCTTAAGTCTATGAGGATAAGAGCCATGGGTTTCCCTTAATCTGTCATGAGAAATATGTAATTTAAGACTCTTAACAGGGCAGATTCAGTGCTATGAACTTTAAAACTTGATTGAAAGACTTCATTAATAGAGTCATCTGACAAGAAAGACTGTAGTTGAACTAGTACAACTTTCTCCAAAATCTTTGAAATAAAAGGAAGATTTGAGATGGGCCGAAAATTGGAAAGAGATGTAGGATTGAGGTTCGTTTTTTTTAAGATACGGCGTTACAGTAGCCTGTTTAAGGCAAACTGGAACAGTACCAGTTTGTAAGCATTTATTAATTACTGATAACAGACTTGGGCCAACTGCATCCATAATTTGTTTAAGGAAAAACGGAGGAACTATATCTTGTGGACATGATGTAAGCTTGAGATGATCCACAATTTCCTTTGTGGCTTTGTTCCTTTCCTTTCAATGACTCCCTATATCTCTCTCTTTATATGCTGCAAGCATAGGCTACATAATAAATAGCTATTATTGGTCATGTTATTTTGAAGGGCTATTAATAAATTAAATACTATTAGGCTATATATTTTTTGTAGGCTATCTATCCTCAGTTGCTCGTGCTGCTACTGTTATGTAATGCATAGGGCAGCTTTCCTAAACAAGGCATTCTTTGAAAATGTTTGGTTTGTTTTAATCAAATATCGCAGATGCTAGTTCAAGAATCACTGTAATTGTCCAAACAGTTAACTAGACATAAAGGTGAACACACTCGAACCAGTGATGTAAAGGTTAAAGGAAACAGTGTGTCATTATAACGCTGTTATTTAAGTATTTGTATTTTTAGTATATGTTTTACGTATTCCTATATATTTGTTTTATATGTTCTGTTTTTAATGTTTCCATTTCGTTCGGTATAAATGGTACCATTCAAAGCACGCTCTTATATTGATTTACAAAGGATGAAACAAGTCCAATTTTTAACATACAAACATAATTTCAAAACGGTCTAGTTTTATTTACACATAGTGCAAGTTAAAAGCACTGTTGCAAGTTGCAACACTCTTGGCTTTGCATTATAAAGTCCTCCAAAGGCGCACATCTGCGCAGACGCGAGTCTATCGACCAGCATTTGAAACCAAAACAGGAAGTCTTAAGTATTGTGGGACGTGTAGTTCCGCTTGTAGGCCGCTGTTCTGGATAACAGCACACGAAGGAACCAAACAAAACAAAATTAGGGAAACTTCCAAGGGACTGCTGTAATACTGGTGCATCTTTTACACGATCATGCCCGGCTTTACGTGCTGCGTGCCCGGTTGCTACAACAACTCGCACCGGGATCGCGATCTGCGGTTCTACACCTTTCCGAAGGACCACACTCAGCGAGAGATATGGCTGAAGAACATTTCGCGGGCCGGGGTGAGCGGCTGCTTCAGCACTTTCCAGCCCACCACCGGACACCGGGTCTGCAGCGTCCACTTTCCCGGCGGCAGGAAAACCTACACCATTCGCGTCCCGACGCTTTTCCCTCTGCGCGGGGTGAACGAGAGGAAGAGCAGGCGAGGAAGGAGCAGGAAGGTCTCCGCGGTCGTGCCCATCATCAGCAACGTCGTTTCCACCGCTAACGAGTCAGCGCCAGTGGAGGAAGAGGGGGACACCGAAAACACCACCGTGGTGCAGATAGGTCAGAACGGCCAGTACATCGCGCCCGTGGACCTCGCCGCTTCAGGGGACGGCTCCTGCCTCGCGGCGGTGGTCTCGGGATCCGGCGAAACACTGACCGGAGGCAGCGCGTCTTGCCCCGTTGCCGATCTCGCGCTGTGCGGGGTGGACCACTCGTACTCGCTCACCACCGGCACAACGTCCGCTGAACTACTGAGGAAGCTGAACGAGCAGCGGGACATCATCGCGCTGATGGAGATCAAAATGAAGGAGATGAATAACACCATCCGACAGCTGCGGGTCAACGAGGCACGGCTGCAGGAGGAGCTGCGGGAGCGGGACCGTCTGATCTCCGCCAACACCATCATTACGAGGAAACTCTGACGAACGACGCAGAGAAACGGCGGACTAAAGACGCAAAGGAAGGTCGGTGTTCGGTGATTCTGTAAGACAAGGCGACGACAATTAAGTATCATCGTAGTTCTCATTTAAACTTCCTCCAGGACTCAGAAGTGGTAGATAGGCTGTGTTTGTGTGTTAGAGCGCAGATACATGTGTTCAACTTGTATGCTCGAGCTGTCCGGCACAGCGCTACACGGGGACTGAGATGAGTTCAGCAGACTGGTCCTTCTCATTTTATATTTAATGATGATACATGTTTGTGCTGTTTGTGTGTTGAAGGCAGCAGACCCAAGATCTGCCTACTGCCACACTTCATAACCATGTTACACGCACACAGAGACTGCTTCATAAGTGTGTAAACAACTGCTTATTTGGGTTTCTTTCTTTGATTATAATATTTCAGTGCATCAGATCAGAGCTTCTGGTCCAGATGAACCGATTCTTTACATGCAGGTTAACGCAGTTAGTAAAGATGATTGGTTTGAAGTAAACTGCTTTTGGACTATAATTTGTGGGACTGTTTTTGTAGTATTGCATTTAAACAAATTATTTAGTTCGGAATCTCTTTTGTAAGATTCTTTACCACACAAGTTCTGAATATGTTGTGCACTATAAAAGCTGTTTCTTTTCTGTTTGAAGCCTTGTGGCATCACATTTATTCTAGGAAATTTCATTTTAATTGTCTTCAGTAAAGCATCTTTAAATTAACCAACCTTTCCAGTATTTAGCAAAAAAACAAACAAACAAAAAAATGGGCATAAGATATTGCCCTTTAATTGTATGAAGAGCTTATTTACGAAAGTCTGAGATTCAAAATAGCTAAAGGACTATTTGATTCACAATGTTGGCCGGTAGAACATTTATTACATTTGTATACTCTTTTTATTTATTTATTTTTTTTTACATATGTTCAGACATAACACACCTCCATTCAAGTTACCCAAAACACAATTTCTATGCATAAAAGCCTCAAGTGGAAAGTGTTTTTGTTTACTTCTGTTATAGTCGTAATCTTTTAATGTCCTCGCTGCGGAAATCTACCCTTAGAGCCAAGACTTGCCGAACCTCTGCAGGGGTCAGACGCCAAGTCAAAGGCCCAGAGTTGGGTCCCCAATAATCCAGGATCTCAGACACCTAAAGGAAGAAAAATGCAGTCAAACAAAATTCAAAACAACACCGTTCTTATACTCATGGACCAGTTTTCAATGATTAACATTTTAAATGGCAGTCAAAAAGCCACATACTCTTTCTAAGTTGAGAATAGTTGCCATCTGTGCGAGTCGGGCAAACTTATCCCGGATGGTCCAGGAGGTGACCGAGGAGAGGTAAGCAACCAAAGCGCGCAGCTCCTTATCAAACTGTAATCCACCAAGCTGCAAACCAGAATGGATAGGACAGTTAGGATGTCTTGTCACTTAAAGCAAATGTGTGCCTGTTCATTTGTGCAGGGCAGGTTTACATCTCACCCTGCTGAAGGTGCATTTGAACACAGTCTTCTCCATCTCCATGGCTATGAGACTGGTCATCAGGCTAGTTAGAGTATCATAGATGACTGGTGACAGGCCCACCTACAGAGAGGCATCTTTAGAATGGGTTTGTGTGAGCATGTGTAAAGTGGATTAAAATGAATATACCTTAAACTCAGCCATGAGCTGCTCCAACTGGACAATGAGTTGCTGAACCCAAGGATCATTGGCTTCATACTCACCGAACTCTTCCTAAAAAAATAAAAAAAACAACGCATAACTTATCCTCAAAAAGATTCATAATATAAGGAATATAACATCATAAATGTTCTTGGTATTTCTGTTTCTATCATTGTCAACTCAAGTGCAGACTGTTTTATTTCCACTCTTTATCAGTAGTAGTAATAGATATTGCAATGTTAACATATCTTACCTCTTCAATATTGTGTGAGACAGACAGGAAGCTGCTGATCCAGGGTTTTACTTGTGGCCTGATAGAGGTGTTATTAAGCTCCTGTAGACCCTCCTGTACATACATAAAACATTAATACAAACCAATTTTAAAATCTACAAACAGATGACATACACAGACATTCAACAGTTTGGGTAAATTATAAAAGTATTGAACACATCACCATTTTTCTCAGTAAATATATTTCTAAAGGTGCTGTTGACATGAAATTTTCACCAGACGTCGGTAACAATCCAAGTAATCCATACATACAAAGAAAGCAAAACAAGTAAGTTCAGAAATTGTGTAATAAAGTAGAATGACACGGGGAAAAAGTATTGAACACATGAAGAAAGGGAGGTGCAAAAAGGCATGGAAAGCCAAGACACCAGCTGAAATCTATCAGTAATTAGAAAGCAATCCTGCCCCTTGTCAGTGGAAATTAATATTAATTGGTTCAGTCCCAAACTATGGCCTATAAAAAGGTGTCTCATGACCAACGTGTCACACAAGAAACATTTCATGATGGGATAAAAGACCTTCGCAACCTTATTGTTGCAAAACATACTGATGGCATTGGTTACAGAAGGATTTCTATACTTCTGAATGTTCCAGTGAGCACTGTTGGGGCCATAATAGTGACAGTAAATACATTTATAATGTTACAAAAAAAGATTATTAAATTATGCTGTTCTTTTAAACCTCATTTTCACCAGACATTCCTGATAAAAAAATGTTTCACAATTTTCAAAAATATTAAGCAGCACAATTTTTTTTTAACATTGTTTTCAACATTGATAATAGTAAGAAATTTTTCTTGAGCACCAAATCAGCATTTTAGAATGATTTCTGAAAGATCATGACAATGAAAATATAGGAGTAATGGCTGCTGAAAGTTCAGCTTTACCATCACAGGAATATATTAAATCGTTTAAATCTTTATACATATAAAAATAGAAAGCAGTTTTTAAGTGTAATAGTATTTCACAATATTACTGTTTTACTGTATTTTTAAATGCAGCCCCAAACTTTTGAACAGTAGTGTATTAACAGTTTTTCACTGACCTGGAGGAGGTCCTTGAAATTGCTGGAGGTGTTGACCAAATCAGATAGACAGCTGTCTATCTTAGCCTTTGCATGATCCGAGCCCGCCCCTTGACTGAACAACTTGGCACAATCACTCTAAGATGGAAAGAGAGAAAACAATTCATCGTACCACAACAAGTTAGTTTTTTGGACTGATTTTACGATATGTTTATGAGGCTTATAAAATTCTATCTGCATTGACTACATGGAAAAGATGTAAAAATTCCTCTTTTTGTGTTCCATGGAAAAAAAGTGCTATATTTTGAGATATATAGGATATTTGCTTCTGGTGGTTGACTGAAAAATAAAATCAAAGTCATATTACACAGACCTCTAGATTCTTTTTCAGGGTGCTGATATTCTCACTGCAGACCTCCACATTATTGAGAGCCACCTGAGAAACAAACATATCAGATAACACACAGGAGTGTGTGTTTAGTGAGAACTAGGTACACGAAAACAAGTGAAAACGTGACATGACATCATAAATTCAGACTGTGTTTAAGTTTGTGTGAGATAGAAAGACTTGATGCTGACCAAGTAGGCACTCTTTGCCTGCTCCTGGCTCTCAATCCCAAGCGTTTGTGTGAGATTTGTTATCTTGCCATGCTGCAGGCTGCTCTGCATCAGACTGACGGCACTGCTGACCCCACGCTGCAGGTCCTGCAGAGCACTGACTGGATATCCAGCTCGGAGCTTACATACTAACACCTCTCTGCATACAAAGAAAGAGATGCAAAGGGTATAGCGAATGATTAGATATTCAACAACAACGGTTTCCAAAAATTCTCTGAATCTTCAACCACCACTACAATAACTCTTCAAATGCACAACATTAACAAAATACACTGAGGCTAATTACATTCCAAATTTGTGCGCATACCTGAAGTCTGTCTCCAGAACACTGGTCGCATGATTGATCATAGCACACACACAGTCAGAACTGCTGCTGGTGAGGGCCCGGCTGATGCATTTCTTCACTATGTAGAACACATCATCCACCATGCTGGAGTTCAGCTGACCCACCTCAGCTGTGTCCATGGCAACTGCCTATAAAATCATATTCATCATCCATTGAGGACATGGATTCTGCCAAAGAAATGTATCTGCAATTTAACAATGGCAAATGTCTTCCAATGTAGGAAGGTACACTATAACGTTCAATAAAAGCATTTATTCCTTTTACAAAAAAAAACTTTCTGACCCCAAACATTTGAATGGACACTACATGTGCCTGACAATAGCTCTGACATCTCTGATGTTGTACATTGTAATGTACACAAGTTATTGACTGTACAGGTGCATCTCAATAAATTAGAATGTCGTGGAAAAGTTCATTTATTTCAGTAATTCAACTCAAATTGTGAAACTTGTGTATTAAATCAATTCAATGCACACAGACTGAAGTAGTTGAAGTCTTTGGTTCTTTTAATTGTGATGATTTTGGCTCACATTTAACAAAAACCCACCAACTCACTATCTCAACAAATTAGAATACTCCATAAGACCAATAAAAAAAACATTTTTACTGAATTGTTTCCACGACATTCTAATTTATTGAGATGCACCTGTATATGTGTCCCACCTTGTTGACGGACTCTCTCATGTAATACTCCTCCATGGGAATGTAATAGCCAATCAGCTCCTGCATAGTGCGGCTCAGCTGGCAGTTCTTCAGTAACTGCATTAAACTCTGCTGATGCTCTAGAAAACAAAACATAAACAAACATGAACAATGCCAGCAAGTAATACTGATGAGTATAAATTTACATAAATCAGCATATTCAACAACATATTCAACACATTTTGCCTACATCCAATTTGTATAGCCTAGTTAGTTACATATATTTCTTTTTAACAGGCAATGATGTGTTGCCTATATGAGCATCATGTGCAGCAGCATTTGTGCTAACTTCTAGGCTACAGCTGATGACAGTTGTCATGACATGTACTTGCAGCAGAATTTTGTTTCATAGAGTAGTTTCATATCCCATAAAAAGCTAGGTGTTACCTTGTATAACCGCTTCATCTGCCATTGCATCTGCAACCTCAAAGTCAGCCACTATTCGCCGCCTCAAGAATCGAAAGTACAGCTCGGCTCTCGAGTTCATTAAGGTAACCTCACATAACACAGGATCCAGGTCTCTAGATTAAACATACAACAACAAATAAAACACCTCGTTAGTGCAGTCAAACGATTAATTGCATCCAAAATAAAAGTTTTTGTTTACATAATATATGTGTGTGTACTGTGTATATTTATTAGGTATATATAAACACACACACATACAGCATATATTTTGAAAATATTTACATTTACATATATATATTTATATCATTATATAAATATATTTAATATATAAACGTAACATATTTTTCTGAAATATATACATGCATGTGTGTGTATTTATATATACATAATAAATATACACAGTACACACACATATATTATGTAAACAAAAACTTTTATTTTGGATGTGATTAATCGCTTGACAGCACTACCCATGTATTCACAAGATAAACAAATAAACAATTATAACACAGACCGCACCTAGGTTCAATCTTTTCTGTAGCCATGCCCCTCATCATGCTGCTCTGGATAACCTGAAACTATAGCGAAACAAAAATAAAAAGTATTGTATAACTACGTCAAAGTACACTTTATTCATGGTGCAAACATTAAGTATAGTACATAAACACACTAATGCAGCATACAGTATAGACACTACACACACCTTATTGTTATAATCTCTCTGTTGGACGAATTTGTCCACTATTTTCTGAGCCTGTTTATCACACTCATTTTGAAGGTGTGCGAGGAGTGTGTGCAGTCGGCCTGGTCCATAGTATGTTTCCACTATGGGCTGATGG